CTGCTGCAGAGCGAGGTGCAAGAGGTGTAGAAAACCAAGCAGGGGATGATGCGTAATCTTGTTGGCTGTGTGCTGAGGAAGGAGAAGGTGGATGAAAATAAATGTGTGCTTTAGGGTTGATAGGTAGCTCTGAAGGAAGAGAGGCCTCAAGAACCTGCCAGTTGCTGTGTATGGACTTCTGGGGTAGGGAGGGAATCTAGCTCAGGAGCCTGTGCCATGGGGCAAGGTGGATGGGAGCTGATGCTTCCTGCATCTCAGGGAAGCTCCTCAAGTCTTCCCATGCAGCCCTTGGGATGTCAGGAAGGGGCAGGTGGCACTAGCAGGATTGTAAAGCCCCATCATGTCTGTGCTGTTCTGAGTCATGGTTTAAAGTTCTGTGTGTTGCAACCTTAGCTCATCCTCTGGCTGTGATGAACTTCTGGAATTTGTTTCCGACACCAAGTGGCATTTCCCACCCCACTGGGCAGTGCACAGGGCCCGTGGCAAACAGGAGGTTACTGCTGTCAATGCTGGATGCTTGCAGCAAGGCTGGTCTGTCGTGACGCTCTGCTAGTATCAAAGCAGTGTATTACATCAAGGCACTGGCCTACTTGTCTCCGTGAACTTGCCTCTCTGCTTCTCCCCTGTGTGTGATGTGGAAACTTCCCTTTATTGGTTTTGGAGCAAAACTTTCTGGGAGAGAAGTGACAGAAATCCTTTCCCTTTCAGGCAAAAAGTGAACTGACTCAGTTGTGGTCCGTTCTTAATGTGTTGTGAAGATTTGTCTATCTCCTTAGCTGGAGACCACTGCAAAACACGTTCACATTTCTTGCATTTCTCTTCTATATAGCTCTTCTATCACCAATGACCAGACAAAACTTGGTACAGCCAGGTGCTTCCTGCTTCCTTCGTTTGGGAGCTCCCTGCTCCTGGGGACAGGGACATCTCTCACCTGAGAGTGAGCTGGAACTGTTCTCCCTGGAGAAGAGAAGACTGGGGGCAGGGTCTTAGCACTGTCTATCTTAACTGTCTGTCTGTCTATCTTAAGCATTCTATGATTCTAACAGTGTCTTATGAGCAAATATGTGAAGGGAGGGTGTGAAGAGACCAGGTTCTCCTTGGTGGTGGCCAGTAACAGGACAAGAGAGAACGGGCACAAGCTGAAGTAAAGAACAGCTTTTCTGCTCTGTTACCCCTGCACCAACAGGCCGTTTGCCCAAGCAAGCCCTGCGAGGCCCCTGCCGCGGAGCGCTGGGTGCCTCTTGGAAGCGCGGGGCGAGTTCACGCTGCGGCTCTTGCTCTCCTTGTATAGTTTCATACAGCTCTCAGAGGCAAGGAGCTAGTGCCTGTGCCTTCCTTATGCCTAAGGCAGAATCCTGAGCCCAGCATTGCGCTCACCGGAGCAGAGCTGGAGACACCCACCTGCTTCCTGTCACCACCCCAGCACTGGGGTGCAGGGCCCTGGTGCTGTGTGTGCTGCTGCTGTTTCCCATCTCCTTCAGGTGTTGGTGCATGTGGGCTCTAGTGCAGGGGAAGCAGTAATTTTGTTAAAGCCTGTCTGATACGATACCTGGATGCCATGGCTGACTCTCTTCCAAGGTGTTGCCTCAGTCTCCAGCTGTAGGATTGAAATGGCCGTATCTGGTGCTATGGAGGCTTCCGCAAGGCGAGAGAAGTGTATCAAGCTGCTGTTGAAGTTGCACCTGAAACCTTACTGGTTTCAGAAATTTTTCAAAGGAATAGAGTGTCCAACAAGAGCTGGACTCCGTCAGACTGTGTGGTTTGACAATGATAAGGGGAAGTGGTTCCCCTGCTCCATTTAAGTGACTTAGGTTCTGCATCTGAGATGATGATTGATGTCCCTCTGGTTTTGCCAGGCTTTAACCTGTCTTCTTCAGAGAACAGTGGAAATAAGAGGCGTGAAGGACTCTGCAGCGGCAAAACTTGCACTGGTGGAGGAGCTTTGTGCTGGTGCAGGAGCTTTGTAGGTTTTTGCTTCTCCTATGGGGCTTTCATGCAGCTGCGCAAGGTCATCTAGTCAAGAGATGTTGGCAATTTCCCTCCCTAGGAGCAGACTGGGCTGCTCTGAGAAGTTCACAGCTTCTTGACTCGCCGCTTCCTTGGCAGAGCGTAAAAAATTCCTGTCACCTCCCTCTGCTCCCATGTCAAATGCTGTCCCTCCAAGTCGGGAACAGGTTCAGTCATCTCCTGGAAGCCGTTTTGCCCTGTGGAAATGGCTCAGCAGTGTCACTGTGTCTGAATGCAAGCCTTGTGCTTATGCCCACCGCTGTTCGTTGCCAGGAGCGGACAGTGACAGCACAGCTCGGTTTGTCCTGAAACATCCGGGGTTAACAGGGTTCAACTGTAAAAAAAGCCAGTGCGTTTAGTGCCTGGCATCAGCACGCCCTGCCCTTGTGAGCAGTCCTGCTCGTCTCGGTGACACCGCACAAATACTGCTTTGGCTTGGAGCCCTGTGCCTTGAGCTCGCTTTCTCTCTCTCTCTGTCTCTCTCTCTCTTCTCTCTCTTTCTCTGTTTTTGTTTCATATCTATATAATTTGCTGGGTAACACCACTATACTTACTGGTATGTTACCAGACTTTGAATTGTTCTGTAGAAAACTTGGGGATTATTAATCTATTTTGTCTGATATAAGATCATGTCAGCTGTATTTACTCTGCTGACTTGACCAGAACAAACCTTCTAACAGAGCAGAATCCTCTTACAAAGTTGTCAGAAGATGCCATGCCCCACTTTCTCTGCTTAGTTTTTTAAATGACAAATCATCCCACTGAGCAATGAAAAAAGTGCTTAATTTTCTGTCTACGTCTCTGTCACTGAATTTCTAGATGGACAAATTTTTATGACTTTTTGCCCCTGGACTACAGGGCCCTTGCTGTTCTTTCTTGTTCTGTGACTACCTGCCCACAGCATTTTGAGCACAGGGTTTCTAACCTTTTATTTTAAATGTCGACCTTTGCATTTAGAACTGTGAAGGCACTGTTTGGATACACTCCCCCTTCTAAGTGACAGCAGTTACTTATGATGTCTTCTTATTCATCTTAGTGTATCACTCTGTGCAGCTACGTTTTTTTTAACAGATCTGGAGCTTTTTTGAGGACCAAGTAGCAAACAGTGGGAGGGTTTCGCACGGAAATGAATAGCTGCTACCTGCAAGGTTTCCTTCTCATGCTTGGCGAGAGTGGCCTGATTGACTTTCTCAAATAGGAAAAGTAAAAAGTAGAGGAGCCCCTTTAAACAAAGAGGGGAAGGTACCTTGTTTAAACAAAACACTCCACTGCAAACCTGACTTTTCCTTTTGCAAATGAGCAAACAGGTTCTATATAACAGATAAAGGACCAATATTATACAGATTTAGGCATTAAAATAGTGCCTGTAGAAATTAATAGGACCTGGGCATTTGCATGCCTCTAAAAATTGGTCTCTCCCTGCAAATTGAAGAGCAGAGAGAGAACTCCTGGAGCAGTTTGGAGACTCCGTGGTGGAGGAGAGTCTCCCACTCGGATGCAAGAGCCAGAAGGAGGCGGGAGTTGTCCAAGTCGTGGGCAGCCTGTTCTGGAGGATCTGCTTTAACAGCCCTTTCCCTCCTGCCTCCCCCCACCAAAAGGAAAAGAAAAAACAGTGTACTCAGTTTGGGAACATGGAGCTGGCATGTAAGAACAAGAGAACATGGCAGAATATCGAGGCCAAGTCTCCTGCTGTCACTAGGAGCAGGTTCCAGGCTCTCCTTCAGGATGCAGGTAGACTCCTGCCATTCCCCATGCACATGTGCATACATGCTCAGGTTTTTCCCACTGGGTGTTTTTCCCAGAATTCTACTTCTCAAATGCTAAGAAAGCTTTTTTTCAGGGCTATATTTGCATTCGTTGGTTCTTAGTTCTCATTATCTTTTTGCTTGCAAAACGTCTTTCCTGTTCCGTGACCGTTTCTGGCTTTCTCTGTTTTTTCACACTTCTACAGGCCTTGGTCACAAGCCCCTTCAGCCTTCGCTGCGCTCCATTAAAGACTCCAGACTCTTCTAGTCTCCTCTTACAAGGCAGGTTCTTCGTTTTGGATCTCTCTCTTGCCCTTCCGTGCACCGTGTGGTTCAGCTTGGTGGCCGTGGGTGACAGGCCAGCGCTCACTGAGAATTCAGCGCCCCAAATTTTGTAGTTCTCCTCCCGCTTCAGGTGTGGTAGTTTCTGTTCATGCTGGGAGTTCTCCTTAGATAAATTGCTTCTGTGCCTGCGTCCAGTGCCAAGATCCCTCCTGAGTTCTGTCCTCCGGGCTATTTCCTGTACTGAAACATGACGTGCTGCTAAGCTTTAAAATGTCTTCGTTCTAGCCAGGTTCAGGGTAAGAATTTTCCGTCTCTCGTCATCACCTTGAACAAGCACTTTCTGAGGGCACTGCCTGCCCTTTGCAGCACTACAGGAAAATGAAACATGATCCTTAACTGAGGCTAGCCAGGGAACTGGATTTTAGTGGAAAGAAAAAACAAAGAAACATGACGTGCTGCTAAGCTTTAAAATGTCTTCGTTCTAGCCAGGTTCAGGGTAAGAATTTTCCGTCTCTCGTCATCACCTTGAACAAGCACTTTCTGAGGGCACTGCCTGCCCTTTGCAGCACTACAGGAAAATGAAACATGATCCTTAACTGAGGCTAGCCAGGGAACTGGATTTTAATGGAAAGAAAAAACAACACCAAAAATAAACTATAAATTATCGGATCCTGTCAGGCTTTCAGTTCCATGTTAAATGATGTGCTTAAATCGACCTTTAGAATAATTGAGGCTAGCCAGGGAACTGGATTTTAATGGAAAGAAAAAACAACACCAAAAATAAACTATAAATTATCGGATCCTGTCAGGCTTTCAGTTCCATGTTAAATGATGTGCTTAAGTCAACCTTTAGAATAAATTATTGGAGTGACAGGATTTTCTGGGTGAAGCTTTATAGTCAGAATGATGCAAAATAGGTGATTTTAACAACTCAGAGTGAAAAAGAGTAAGATGGAGTAAAAACATTTGCATTTCCAGTGAGACTCTGAATGTCTCCCATTGCTTTTCAATACTTATCCAGCCAGTTCTTTTCAGGATCCCCTCCCTCGTTATCAGCATTTCTATCACTGTGCCAAGTCTGGTTGCTCTGAGTATCTAATGAGGAAGAAGTACTGGCTTCTTAAGTCCCTGTTTCTGGAACTCGCTGGTGAAAGGGCTCATCCTGACTATAGGAATCATTTTATTCGTGGTGTCAAAGTCATCACTAGGAGTAT